ATAGTGTACATACACTGACATGAGTGGCTTTTTACTAAGTCTACAAATATATCACTGATCACACAAAAGAAAACATACTTTTGCAATGTCCTCAAACAGGTCTTTAAAATGAGAAGCTCTCTCTTTACTACACCATTTACTTCCATGACGAGCACATTCTATCCAAACCTGAAATTCATCTGTTGGTGTAAGTATAGCTGCAAATAATAATGGAAAATGTTTAAATATTAAATACATGGATGGTCACAAATATTTTCATTCAGATCATACTTTTTAAAGCAAATTTTTACTATATGGTTATGTAATTATCCTTCAACTTCTGACTCTGACTAGACATAGTATCGAGTTCATATCAAGACACCAGAGTTGATCACCACTAATTCCAATCTATTCACCACAACCTGTTATGTTTCACACTCTGCAGTCACTGGGATAACAAAGATTGAAAACTCAACCGGTAAATAAATTATTTACTCCAAATTTTAAATTAACTATAAGAGGTAATTTCAAAACAAACCTCGCACATCATCTTCACTGAATTTTGTTCCTGTGTAATTAGGATCTGACCTTCTGAGAACAGTACTTAAGCCCGCTTCAAGCTCACTTAAAAGTTTCTGGAGTTTGGGATCAAACGTTTTACTCCATCTCTCATCCTGTAATGAAAATTTCAAAACTCACGTGATAGAAAAGTAACTCTTTTCCTCCCATTAATCTTAAAAAATAATTACTTAGATTAATAGCAGTAACCAATCACATGGTGAGACAATGTAATAATTTATTTCTCTTAAAGTCAAGGAAAAGCACCTCATTCTTTTCACTTAACACTTCAGAATAATACTGTAAAAAAATTTTATCACAAAATCAATTCAGTTGTTGGATATATAAAGGCACTCTGAAAGTGTGTTCAAAATTCTTTGGTAATGAATTCTCTTAAGTTAAATTTGGAATTTTCTTCTCTAGTAGAATCTAGAAATTGCTAGAATCAAGTATTAAAAGTTATTGTGCTTTTCTAAAATTATTTTATTAAATATTATGACATACAAGAAATTAAAAATATTTAAATGCCGAAACTCTGCTTGTTCAGTTTATGAAACACAGCCATGGTCATCTGTTTTGACAAAAAAATCCACAAAGGAAATATATTCTTTAATAGAACGGAAGGAAAAGCCTCAGAGCATTTTTTTAAAAAGCAAAACTCTGAGAAATACAGCTGTACAAGTTAATCTAGAGTCTAGCACACCTATCTGCCACATATTACAAGTTTGCATCATACTATACCCATGCATTTCATATCAAATATAATAATAACTAAAACAAGAAAAGGAGACAAGACGGGAATTACTGGTGGAAAGGAAGTAAGGAGCTTTTACCTCCATTAACCACTCCTGCCCAGTATATTCCACATTTATAGCAAGGCATATATATGACCAGAATCCTCCTCTCTCTTTACTGATAGAAGGTGAAATACTTTCTTGAAATTAGAAATTAGAAGCATCATCCATTTTTTAAGCGCTTAAAATGTATTATTTTTAAAATAAAATATTTATCTCAGAATAGTTAACATCCTATTGGAATTTCAATACTTCAATATAAAACTATAGAGCATTTAAATTGGTATATTGCTCACCTTCAGTAACACCGGTGCAAAAACTTGTCGCACAGCTTGATAAAGGGTGTAAATTGGTGAATCGAGCATAGATGACACAAGAATATTACTATGAAGGTTATCTTCTGTAATTACATCAGGCCGCAGCTTAAAGAACACCAACACATTATTCTTTGAATCAGTAGCTTCAATCTGTAAGAATCAAGAAGACAGGATTTGTTCACAAAACTGTCATTGACTGAATATTATACTAAATTAAGTACACCATTTACAAAAATTATTTACATCAAGAAAAAAATATAAAATATAATACTACTTCCTGTGGGCTCTGATAATATTTTTGTAGTATTTGATTTGCACAAAAAATTAGAAATTTTATTACACTCCTACCTGAGTTCATAGGAACCTGAATTCCAACATCAAATATATAATGCCTTTTTCATTATAAAATATCCTTAAATACCATAATTATTTATGCTATTTTGCTTTTGAAGACACCACTTATCACTTTGGAGACAAACCAGAAACTACATCTTGTGCCTAGAGAAAACTGAGCATGAAGTCTCTCCTTCGTTTTGCATTTTTATGCTACATAACTTTGGGAATATTTTTCAAATATTCAGTATTGTTCTCTTAAGTCTGTAAATACATAACTATCACAATTCATAGATTTGTCAAGGAGAAAAGCATGTTCCTTCATCAGTAAAATCGTAAGTTGTAGCATGACTCTTGGACTTCACAGTCCAACTTACAGGTGAAGTTCCAAAAATTGCCATAAGAACAATTACTGAAACTATTTTTGGCCGAGGAGAATTCATAAAACAGGAAAACATTATTAAACATCTGATAAAGCAGTAGCAAAAAGATACAATAGCTGAAATGCCAAATTCTGTGCAACTGTAAACATTCATGGAATTTTTCTATTAAAAGAAACAGGGCTAGTAAGGACAGCTTTCAATTTTACTTGACATAATCAGTTCCACTTTTTCATAAGTCTTTAGCCCAGCACCTACCTACAGACACTGTTTCAACTGATACACTAGGAATACTTTAGCGTCCCGATATGCATCCAATCTTCACAGCTGCTGACAAGTGCCTTTGTATATTAGACTGTGGCTCAGCAACACACCCCAAAAACTGGTACATGTAAATATTAATTCTTGCATGAATATAGCATGCACTAGACTTCACAGACTACACATATGATTACACCAGGAGGTATGTAACCTACTGGTCCACACAGCAGTTCACATGTTAACAACCCATTACGCTAGTCTTCGGTGCAGAAAAAAAACTGTCACTGACATAACAGACCCCACGTCCCCGGTCTCACGGCAGAATGACGGGACGCACATCAAGATGCTCGCTTTGTGTGGCAGACACCACACCGCGTCCTGACTACATGGTGACAGTCACTGTACATCACTCACACCCCACGTTGTCACTCGGATGCGTCACTTGCTGAGCACAAACACTTAGAGCACGACATTTCACACAGAGAAACTCAGATTTGCTCATAGCTGGACACATCAGTCTGCAAAACACATGGGATGTGGACAAACACCCACCTTGAGACTTGTCAGATATCAGCCAATGTGCCACCCATTGGGCCACGCTTCCCGCACGGGCATCGGCAACGCAATCCTTCCAGCCACCCGCATGCACCCTTGCCCGGGAACGACCCATACATCAGACCCCACCTGGCGTCTGCGGCACGCTAACACGCCATTCTCCAGGCTGCCTGACATTCACACAGCGACAACACACAGCACGCTACAACTACGTATCAGCATGGGCACGATCCACTAACAAATATATCACACAGCTGACCATACAGTCCTTCACAGACTCCTGGGCCAGCAATTTATGGAGCAGGCGCTGAGGCCAGCACAGATTGCTGGAGTAGGAAGACCAGTCTTTCCTGAGCGCTAAACTCGGGCTGGGCGCCAGGCTCTGCATCCTCACCGGCACACCGGGATGCAGCGGACACGCTGGATCCACAGGCGCCTGCACACGCTCGGCCGGACACCACCGTACCTTGTTGGACGCCGTGAGCTGGGTGCCCGAGTGCTGCACAACGAGGAGGAACTCATTGCCGTCGTCGAGGAAGTTGGCGAGCTCCGGACGGCGATGGAGCCCCGCGGCCAGGGCAGCGGGGCCCACACCTGGATCCAGCCCGAAGTAGTTCGCGGCCGTGGCTGCAATAAAACGCTTCCTCTTGTCTCCCTCCCCGGCCATGCTGGCAGGGCGCACCCCCGCCAGGCAGGATCAAGGCGGGCGTGGATCCAGAACCGCACGGGAGTACACGGAGGGCTGACGGGAGAAGAGCCAAAGGGCGGGCGGCGGGAAGGACGGGCTCCTGCCGGGGCACAAAGCGAAGAGCGAGGCCTCCCGGCGTCGCGGCGTTGCCAGGACCCGTCACTATGGTGACTGAAAATGGCGGCCCTGGCGCGCTGGCGAGCTGGGTCCGGGTGG